ATTTGCCACCTCTCATTTCCATCATCATCTTCTTTTTTTTTTCATTTTCATCCCACTTCTGACATCAATTTGTTATGTATCTGCTTGTTTGTTAATTTCCCGAAGAAATTCTTTCCGAGAAACTTCAGTGATACAAGTCCTTTCTTTATTAAAACTAGTTTATTCTTTCTCGATACAACTTTCCAGTACAAAGAATTTCCACAGTCACTTTAACTTAACTACTTTTATAAACACATACTTTCAATCACAGTGGTTCACACACTTTACTTACAGTGCCTACTGCTCGCTTGACTCAATTATCCCTATCTATATCTATCTATCTATGCCCTTATATAATAAAAGCAAATACCGGGATATTTGTGAGATTCCCCGATAAGTCATGATCCTTCTAGAAACTCCAGCGAGCATTTTCCCAGTGTTGCGTGACCTCCGCTGTTGTAACAATATCATTTAATAACTTTATACAAAGTGTCATGCTATTTAATCAAATATTTTCACTTTGAGAAGTGAAAAATCAAAGGATATCAATGAGACACACCTCTAGTCTGGAAAGGCTTACAATGCATAGTCTGTATTTTTTTGTTATGCTTAAGAGTGTTTCATTACTAGTATTCAGACTTTTATCTCAAAGACTCATCTCTTATAGAGCTGCTGCACTAAGTATAAGATGCAGACAACAGTTGTCTGACTACTTTGAAAGTACAAAATATTTCAAATAAACATATTTTAAAATTTTTCTGTCAAAAAACGTAAAAACATATTATATTAATCCAAGTTTTATTTATAAAAAAGTCTTAAGTTATGCAAATCCTAGCCTTTTTTTTTTGTGATGAAGACATTTGTGACATTAAGGAAATATAATGGTTGGAGACGGCTTGAATGGATAATGAAGAAAACTTTAATATAAGTTCAACATAACAGCAAATGTACAACGTTTCGACAAGCCATCTCCAACCATTATTAGTCTCAAAGTGGGTTCCTCGTCATTGAAATTAAGGAAATATGTTGTGTTATATAGGCACAAAAGCATTCACTTTTTGAAATCAGACCACAAGAAATAAAGCTGTATAACCAGTTTATAAATTTATCATTTGAACTAATTCACACATTTCATTTATTTAAGAATGAGATTGATGTCATGATTATTAGGGCTTAACTTTGTTTCCAATGTAACAAGTATTGTAAATTTTTTTTAGAGCAAATGGCATGTATTTTATTTTGTAGGTTTTAAATATAACCAAAAAATGTGATCATATTGAGAAGTTAAAGTTTCAAATGGGATGAGGTTTAAGCCTAAAACTGAGCATGCAGTTCTTTAGTCAGCATTTCTACTTTAAGCATAAACTATTTAATTTTTGTTATTTAATGAACAGATGGAAGTACAGTAGCTTCACAATTTTTTTTAGCACAGGTATAACTTAAGGATATAATATTGTTGATTGTGACACAGAAGTAAAAAGCACCATCATTTTTGCTGTTGTATTGAATACAACAAGTCATACAGTACCACACGTTGAATTGATTATGTTAATTATTTATTGATAACTATAAAGTTGTTGCATTGTACAAGATAAAAAAATACCAAACACCTAAATTTATGAATCTGAAACTGAACACAAAGTAGTTTCAATTTTTTCAAGAAAAATATAACTTGTTTTTTTCCATCAATTGTTAGATTGTTAATATTATCATTTTAAATACAGTTTCAGTTTATTAAAGGTGCATTATTATTGCATAGACATGTTGATTCTAGTCTGGTCTTTTGTGAATTACCAAATTACTTCCTTTTATCATTAGTGGCCTTGCCTCCAATCTGGCTCATTTATTTTGTAGTCTTTGGAAAACATAAGTTGGTCACAATGCATGTGGCACTACTTGTTGAGAAACTGGGTTTAATACTGAACTGAAATTCAGTCTGAGTTATGGTGGAAAATTGTGGTAGATTTAAATCAGGTATAATTTATATAAGTAAAAAATTCAGTAAAGAAATAGAGCATTTAGTGAAACTATACAAATATTCCAAGGTTTATGGGTTGTTACTAAGTCTTCTAAACTTCCTATTAGATTCCTTTATTCATTCTAGCAGGAGATCCACCTAGTTATTTTCCCATGGAACCATAAATTACTACTTACACTAATTTGTTTACTCTACATTGATTTAAATAGTTTATAATCTACTTTATCCAGTGGTTATTTTCAAAGGTGGGCTTCGTTAATACTTGTTCAAATTACATGCTATGACATTATAAAAGGGTAAAAACAAAAAGCTGTAGTACTAAAACTACTAACAGAGAAAAACATCACATGAGAAATAAAAAAAATACATAATTACATTCTCAAGAGATGATAGTTTCTTAACAAATATAAACCTAAGCTTTGGGATGAGCAGAAAAATTCTAAAAACATTTATAAGTGTATTGTTTACAGTAGGGAGAGAGAGACTCCTTGAAGCTGTGCATAAATAAAATTTTATATAGTTTTTTATCTTTATTTGCAAATTACACTAAACAAATATTTAAAATGACTGCTTTGCAGTCCTTATTGAATTAAACTATCTATACGTCCATCATTATAATGAAAAACTAATAGCATGTTCAGATAAATTAAAAACAATTAAGTTTTATCAACACATTCATAATAATACAGGTAATACCCAAAAGATGATTATAGCTAAAAAAGCAAGAGCTAATTTAGGAGCCATAACAACAATATTAATTTGATCATAGGTAGTTTCATTAAATTAAAAACTTTTTCAAAACATCATTATTTAATAAACATATATTTGATACTTTTTCGTACAGCATTATTATCTTTGTAAATCAGATTAGCAATTTAATAGTTTAATAAGTGTTATAGTGCATGATGCAGTATAAAACAATTCATAAAATGGATATCTTAATGAAAATTCAATTCTCTGTGAGCAACCAATTGAAAATAAAATTTTAAGATGCATTCATTTGTTTTTTATCTTTAAAAGTTAAAACATTCATTAATAATTCCAGCAAGTTCATTATTTTAATATTCGCAAAGGAGGAATGGCATTAAACTGTGAAAATTGACCTTAAAAGTAATTGCTATAATTATAATTATTTTTAATATTTCATCTTAACTTTTGTTAACTACTTAACATGTCAAATGTACACTATAGATTCAATTAGAATTTACTATTTAAACCAATTGAAGATTTGTACTGTTAGTTACAGTTTGTTTTACTGGAATGCTTCTGTAGAAACTGTAAAGTGAAATGTTGAGTGTTCAGTTGAACAAGAAAACAAATTTGTTATTATAAGTTCATTTATTACTAGTACTAAAATGTCTTTTATACTCCAATATACACTACAGAAATTAAATAATACAATATTTCATCTTTAGCAACTTCAGGTACACACACACCCCTTATGTGATTTAAGTTTCATGTGTGTGATGTCTATCTACATTACAAGTTTATTAAGATCCAAAATATTATGATACTTTTCTTCTAAAGTATTGGTAGTTCAATTTGATAGTACAGTTAAATTGTGAAAATAATTGATTTTATGAGGTTTTTTGGCAGCTCATAAAAAATTGGAGAATAGTAAAACCATTTTTGATGTCTCGGTGTAAGTATCTGAAAGTATGAACAAAATCAATAAAGAGTGTGGAGGTCAACATGGTATCCTCTGTATGAATACATTTACTTTCAAACTATCATAATTGCATGACAATTCTTTATGGGTCAATCTCCGTAGCTTGATGCCAGTCCCCTCTTGATACAATCATTATACCTAGACACCTCTGTATATAACTTTTTTGATGAACCATTAACCTGTATGTGAACATGCCTTTTTTTTTTAATAGTTTAAATAACTTTTCATTAGAATTACACCACTTTTATTAATTTAATCATGTTGTAAGTGGATGAGCTCAGAATTGATATTTAAAATTGTATTTAGTATTATAGTTTTGTTGCTCAAAATTATTAGAATTAAAATTTTCCCAGGATTATAAATATAACGTTCACATTATTTTAAAGATTTTTTAAAGCATTTTGATTTTCTTTTATAGTGAAATTGTATTCAAGTTGTAACTGAGTCAATAAGCATGATACAATTTTAAAGCAAGACTGTAATATTTCCAGTGTAGACAAAAAAATTTGTCACTTTTGATTATTGTTTTCATTACCATTTAAGAGATATAAAAGAAAATTCAAGCTTTTATGTTTTAAACTAAACCATAAATACTGTTTTTCATCATATTTTATGACAAATTGTGATTTTAAATTGATTTTTTTTGTTGATAAAACAGAGAATTAAATATTGTTTTTTTCAGCCATCCAAATTTTCTTAACTATTTTGAACAATCTAATAAAACAAGTTCCTGTTATTACTTGTTTCAACAATGTTTCCTAAATCAGAACAATCTAAAATGCAAAATTTGTGTACACTTTTACACTCTTCATGTTAAATTAACAGTAATGTAATAAACCAGTTTTCATGATTAATTTGGTACAGAACTTTGTTTATTGCTGTATTATTTTTCATTCGTGTAAGTTAAAGATGGATAATTTAAAGTTGTAGAAGATGTGGAATATATATATACTCGGATGCCATTCTCTTAAGAAATTAAGGTGCATGGAATATTTGTAAGATCTTAACTTCTAATTCATTTTAATGTTATTAAATAAATATAAATGTATTCATAGTTCTTTATTTGTTGGATAGAATTAATTAATAAATTTTATGATTAAGAATTACTTTAGCCACTAAGGAATGTTGATGTAAGAAATTGTAAAAATTAAAACCAAAATTTCAAAATTATACACACATAAGAGATGCATGTAATTGTAAACAAAAGGCCATAAATGTGGAATAGACAATTTTTATTGTTCCATATTATGCCCAGTTTAAGAAGAAATTACATAGTCTCTCACAGTAATAATTGAATGTTAAATTTTTCTACTGACTACTGTAAAGCATAAATTAGATTTTCACACATCTATGTCTATTAATCACAATATGTTTATAGTCTTCAATAATATAAAGTGAAAATTTACATTTATCTGTCATTAGTAATTATGTTTTGTTCTGCCAATTATGTAGCTCCAACACTGCCAGACTCTTGCATGCCACTAGGAATGAAATTAGAAGACAACCACACCAAGCTAGTTCCAGTACAAGTTGGTAAGTCAGGAATCAATAATAGTAGAGTATTTTAATTCTCAGATTTAAGTTATTGGTTACATTTATGTATATAAAATGTCCAAATTCAGAATAAAATGATTTTATTTTAAAATATTCTAATTTTTACTCTAAGTTGTTAAAAACAACTTTTTGAAATAAATTCTGTTGCAAAAAAACACATAACTTTTAAAGTTAAAGTGTGCTTTCAGAATGTCAGGTTTTATCTATGGATGGGCTGGATTCTTTACAGTAGGTACCTGTGACTTGTTAGTGATAAATTTAAACAAAAGAGAAACAGCACACAGTCCACTTGTTTTAAAATAATACATTAAAACAATTCAAACATACATACAAATATCTGTGACACATTAATCACCACAAATGTATCCAGAGCTGTAAATAATTGTATCTTTTTCATCAAAGTCCACGAAGACTGGATCAATTAGTTTAGAACACAATAGAAAAGACAAATTATTCTTCTCTACTCTGTTATTGCAATACAGTCTGTGAAAATTTCACTTTAAAAGTCACCACTATACACTCTTTATGGTTAAATTCACAATCACACAGTCTAGATCTAGCTATCTATTTAACTAACTCAAACTGCATTTTTTATTTATCTATATAGACTGACAGAGGCCTTAAATGTTCTACACACTACAAGATATTATGATACAATATTACTCACGTTTCTAGTCACATGATACAAAAATACAAGTGCCAATTTACAACAATTGAACTACACAACATATGATTCATACACAATTATGTAAACAAACCTGCGATTAACTATCACTTCTAAAAATAACTAAATTTAACACTCATGCTATTCTTAAACCATCTAAATCATAACACTCGCATTAAACTTAAACAGTCATATATATCTAATACAGAAAATAATAGGAAATAATATTTCTTTTAAAAAATAACTTTTTTAATGCATGCTTTAATTAAAGATATCACAAAAAAATACTATATTAAATTTGAGTTCAGGTTTATTTTCCTTAAACATGAAAAGTATAACTATTTATTTCCAGGATTGCAACTGCTTCATCATGTGTTATCTGTTAGCTTTGCTGCAAGTACAGATGAAGATATTATTCAAACTAATGTTGCTGGATTCATTTGTGTGTAAGTTGTTTTCATATATTAAACTTTTATACATTACATCAAAGACCATGATTTAGTAAGACTCAACACTTGCAAATATGAGAATGAGAGTCATCTATATATATCTTATAGTATGTAACAATGATGGAAATAATGATTTGTGCTGCAGTGAAATGTAATACTTCTCAGTAAAAATGGCCACAAATATCTCATTTTTCCTTTTTTCGAATATCAAAAAGGAGGTAGAACCTAGTAAAAACGTTTCCATATGAAAACAAATTTCTTATTATTTTTACTGAGAGTTTGGTTTAAGATGTTATAGTCCTTATTTAAGATTGAGTTAAAAAATAAACTTTAACATTATATTTAAACTTAACAAATCGAACCACAGAATATGAATTAAAAAAATCATAATGATAGGAATATAGAAGCATTTAAAATACATAGAATAGCTTTACCAAACCCACTTGAGAACATTATTTTGAATTAATGTGTAGTATTTTGGCCATAGGTCTATATCAGACATATAATCTGTCCAAATAGTAAAGCATTTTAAGCAAAGTATATTTGGATTATGTAGTTAGCTTTTTAAATGTTTTAAATTGAATCTTAAATTTTCTATTTCTTAAAGTACAGTTTAAGTTATCTTCATTTCTTTTCCCAAAAGAACGTAACTAGGCTCAGAACTTTACATTTATTAAGTTTAATTACCTTCATTCTTGATGTACTTAACTAACTTTTGAGAAATGTTGTGTTGTTTAATATGTTTTATATATATATACCATTATTAGTATCAAAAACTCGATGTAATCATGACCAAAATACAGTCTTATTCTGCCATTCTGGTCTTTTAACATTGCATTGTTTTCACCTGATTTCCATATAAAATGATTTTTATGTAGGCTTCTACCACTTTTGGTAAAGAGAAGTAATTCATAAATTTGTTAAGTATTTGGTATATGTACCTATATTGTGATTAACAGGGGCCTTAGTCTTAGTACAAAACATGCATGAATTATATTGAAATTGCTTTTATATACAGCATGTAAAAATATTATACTTATCATTCACATGCAGAAAGTAGTAAACAAGCCAGGAAAGCAAACCTGAAGTTTAATAAGAAAAAAATAAAATACTGTAAACTGAAGATTAATCACACATTCCTTGTTTTCTTTGGAATTAACTTCTCTACCTCAATCTAATTAACACAGATATGCATTATTATTATCCAACATTGTAGTTACCATTGCAACAAGCTTGTATGAAGAATTGCAAAGTCAATCAAAGATTAGAGGCATGAAAGTCCATTGAAGCTATGTCACTGGGTATAAAATGTATGTAGTTAAATGGGAGCACTGTGATTCCAGTTTGTTGACAATTGTCTTCATGAAAAATGCCATTGATTTCAAGTTGTGGCTGGAAACTTGTGAATTTTTGGTTAATTAAGTTAATGTTCTTGTTTATTATCTTCTTAAAAATACCAGAAGGTAAGTCCACTTTCATCACAATATTTCTTTTGAGTATATAATTCTTTTTCTTAACCATAGACTTCATTTTGTGGATAAGGACATTGCTCTGTATGTAGCTTGAAGTATAATTTTGAAGCCTGCTGCTGTCTTAAATATAGTTAAAAGTTTTTTTTTACTTAAGATAAAAACAATTAATATCATTTGTTTGGCTGTACATTATTTAATATTTTTTCTTATTAAAATGAATATCCTTCTTCAGAAAGGGTTATGACATAAAGCATTATCTGTAATTCTTCTAAGCATTGCACTGTATGATCAGGAATTTGCCATTAACGAAATTAATAGATTCTAAATATGTTATTTGTGGCAACACAACTTGCATGTATAGTGACATCTGTATTGTGGGAGAATATGATATATATAGTCTCAGGAAATATTGCTGTATTATAAGGGGTAAATAGTAGACTAGGAGCATAAGTCAAGGAAGCAAGACAGGAAATGAATAGAGTTAAATATTACTTTGGGTAAGAATCAGACAGTATTGTGTGTACAAGAATGCACAGTGGTAAAACATTTAAGGGCTAACAAGTTGAGTTTATTTAACATTCAGATACCAATCTAATAGAATTGAACCATCGGCTGATTTGTAATGGGGAAGAAGGCAGTGATCAAGAGGTTTACATACCTTCATGAAGTTTACTGATTAAGTTATTTGTAGTGGGGATCATAAAAAGTCTAGTGCAAGAATATGCATAGATTGTATTGACAGTTTAGTTGTTGGTACCAAAGCCCATTCTTTTTTTGTATTGTATGTAGGAGCAAATGATGTTGGAAACTGTAAATCAAAATAGCTGCTTAACCCTATCACTATGGGTTTTATTATGGTCAGAGGTCAAAAGGCATATCATCAAGCTTGTGAACTTGCATTCAAATTTTATGAATGTATGTCAATAAGTTTGTTATCAAATTGTAGATTATAATTCATATTTTAGTATTATACATTAGTTACTTTCTTAATTTTAAAGTAAATATTAAACAAAATCCTGAATACTGATTTTTGTGTGTCACATGGTATGTTGAATGCAGCTTTGATTCAAATTAGATGTTTGCAATGGCCAAATACAAAGTCTATGGTTTTTTATGAATTAGAAACTCAAATTATAAATATTGACAAGCTAGAATATAAAATAAGAACCACCTCTTTTTTTTATTTGCTGAGATATCCCTATATTTAGCAAATCTAACACAGTGGCCCTGCTCATCTTTTCCATTTTTAGAAATACTTCCTTACATATAGCCACTTCACTCTACCATATGTTTATAACCAATCAAAAAGTCATAATATCCCCCATGTATTTTTTCAGCCTCTTAAAGGTGAGAAGTTTCCAGAATTATTTCTTTTGTCTCGAATCTCAGAAGGAAAGAGTAAGTGAAAATGCTGTTCATAAAACACTATTTTTTTATATCCACATGTAATATTGATAAAGGAATTTATAATTTTTTGTTATTTCAAACTGTGTCTGTAAAACCTAAAAAAACTATTTTGTTTTACATCCTTCATGTGTGAAATTTGGCAAGGCTTAGCATGCCAGGTACAGCAAGTGAGTACAAACCTCTTTACAATCATGGTTTTCTATATTTCCTTATTATTAGTATATTCTTTCTATTGTTACGACAACGCAGGTCACGTGACGCTTGTATCACGCCACTTCCTTCTCGAACCTTCATGAAATATCGGGAGTTTACTAGGTCTCGGTATTCTTTTATATATAAGACGGTCACAACATGACAGGGGCAATGTAATGAATGTGTAATTGAACTGCAGACAGAGTATTGTTTAGTTGAGCACGTGAGCCGTTCGTTGTGAGTTATAGCATTTGTTATAGCGCGACTGTTGAAATTAAGTGTATCACAAAGTTATATTCAGAAAGAATAAACCAGTTTTATTTAATTAAGAAAGGACTTCTATCTGGAAAGTTTTTTCAGAAAGAATTTTTACAAAAAATTAACTAACAAACTGAGACGTAACACTATATTACTGTTCTTTGTTTTAAGAAAAATAACTGATATTTAAGAATTTTTTTGTAAATAGTAATAATAATATGTATACATATGTAACTGAAATGTGATTGTATTTTACAAAATACTGGTGCACTAGAACAAAGCCAAGACAGGCCACTTTTACACTATTGGATACAGTAACATTAGTTCACATGCGCCATATCATTGCAACTTCTGTAATTTTAGACATAGCTGAAAGGTCAATAAAATAAAAATAATATAAATACATATCTATAATGTTATGAGATTTAGGGTATTTAGAGTAAACTTTTGTGGTTTCATGTTATAATTTGTAGTCATTTTAAAATGAAAAAAGCATAATTTATATCTGTTTCTTAATTTTTTTATAGTAGTTATGAGGTCAGTCAAATTGACCAAACCCATACAGAGATACAATAGTGAAAATAACAGATAAAATATAGTTTTTCTATAAAAAAAACATTTGATAATTATCTGGAGGTTATACAGATTTTGTATGTGAAATCAGACAATTTTCTGATACATAAAAGCATTTTTAATCTTAAAATCAAAATTACTTTGCATGTTGGATAGTCAACATTCGAAAAAACAATGCATAAGCAAATCATTGATTATGAAAACTTAAAACTTAATTACAAAATCTGATATTTTGTGTATGAAAGCCTTGTAATGTGTACTGATAATCTGCAAAATTTCGTGAAGATTTTATACATTTTAAAAAGTTACAGTATAACTGTTTTATGGTTACTTTGAGATATACGAGCTGGGTGGAATCCACCTACCCATAGTAAAAGGGTTAAAAAGTACATAAAACTCCTTTAAAAACAGGCTGGCTGATTCAACCTCTGGAACAATTTTTAAGAGTTGGTTGAAATGTATTCTAGATATGAACTCCATGCAGAAAGCTGTAAAGAATTTAATTAAATATAGCTTAAATTTGCATAGTGGCAAAGGAGTTTGAAAACAAATTGATAAGATAGCTAGGACGAAAGATGTAGGGCATAACAAGGTAAATTATAGTTTTAAAAGATAAATATCTAATTTAAAAATAATAATAATAGATTCAAGAATAATCTTTGTAGCTCATATGCCAATGCTGGGAGTATCAGGTATATTATGGACAGTTTATAGTTATAAATGATAGGCTTTTTAAAATAGAGGTAAAAAGGTTGAACCAATATGCTCATCAGGTGCACGAAAGCCAATAAACAGTAAACACTGCTGTTACAGCTCCAGCAAACTAACAGAGTCCAATTCGGACCTAGCCACTCTGTTGGGGAATACATTCAACAGCTTGCATTGAAAGGTTTGGTGGTTAACCTAGCTCTCTCAGGGCTGGGTGGGTCTTAGTAGGTACCTGTCGGTTAAGAGTACTAAGTGTAAGAGGAAGAATTCCTGCTTGGTATAGAAATATACATCAGGCACTGTGAGTGAAACCATTACTTGGATAAGTAAGTAGTGTTGAATGATGTGGTGAATCTGAACATGTCTAGAGAGCATTGCTCAAAGAAT